CAAAGAGAGTGAGAAAGCACATCACTTCCTCGTAGCCTCATCCCTGGATCCCTTCAGGTTTTTGCAGCAGTTCAGCAGACTGATATCGCTCTCATGGTCCTTTCAGCCTGGTGGGTTTTCTGCTCATTAATCTAAAGGAACGGGCACTTTAGGAGGAAAAACTTTGATAGTAGTGTTGAATGGGCAAGTATTTAAAGCTCCATTCCTTGAAATGACTCCAGATGAAGTAGCCAGTGTGCCAAGTTATTTTACTGCTGTTTGCTCTGCAGAAATCTGCACTGTGTCTGACAACGGATACGTGTCATACAGAAATTACCCTGCCAGGGGATTTTTGAATTAGATTTTGCCTAAAAGTATGTGATGTCTTTTGATTTGTGATCTTGAGAAATCAAAATGTTGAGTCGCTGTTTAACTTAAACTAAAAATACCCACAAACATTACAACAGTTTTACATTATCTTCAGGAAATCTGGTTCTAGGATGATTTTCAAGTGTTCCACACAGGTCCTCTACTTTTGCTTCTAGGCAGTGATGTGTTCAGCAGTGATATTGTTGTGTATTGCAGGTCCAAGTAGTAGGTCTCAGGAGGATGAAGTATGTCCCAAGGTCATCCTAGAGTCCTCAGGGCACAACTTAGTGGGAACTGTTCATTCCCCTGTCTGAGAAAAGGAATGGAAGAGTGCAGCTAGAAGAATAAATGACACCTATTTGTTTTTGTGCAGTGTCTGAAAGGCAGAATTCATCTAGTAAATGCAGAGGTTCACTTCAGAGATGGTCACAGTCAGTCCCCTTTACTGACAACGGAGAGCAAATCAGTGCACAAAGGGGTCTAGGGCATAGTTTGTCTTCTCCTAAGAGATGTCTGGAACAGTTCAGGTGACTCGTCCTCATCATGCCTAGTTCTCTCCACTAACTATGGAGACAGCCTGAGCTGACCACCTCACATACAGGGATCTACACTCCAAGTGTCTGAAACTAAGTGCAAGGAAGCAGCCTCTCACTCTAAACACATGGATGAAACAAGATAATGCTTCCTGAAGCCTTTTGCACCTAGCAGCTCTGGGTCCAGTGCGTGTTGTACCTCTTAGTGGCACACGGTTGCTGTGGATGTGTACTCTGCTAACACCACACTTCGCATCTTCGTGTTTTATAACCCCAAAGCTAACTGCTTCCAGGTTGAGGCAGCAGTTTCAGCACTGTTTCTCCCCAAGTGGGCTTCATCCCTTCCAAAGAGAGCACTCGCTCTCTCTCCTCCCCTTGCTGCAGTTCTATAGCACTTGCTGTGCAAGCAGCAGATGCTTTGCAGTTATACCTGAGAGCCTTTTCAAACAAACACTATTCTGCCAAATTAAGCATTTTAGGGTGCTTCAGTTGGAACAATTAGTAAAGATTACCCAAATGGTCTGGATGACACCATCACATGTCTCTGCAGACCAATATAGTCAGGATTTCATCTTCACATTGCACTGGGTAAAAGTGTTACTACCTGAAGTGGGAAATGTGTGCTGTTTAAAGAAACAATTGCTTAAGCCTGCTCCATTTTATGCCAGTTAAGGTCCACCCTCAGGCTTTTGGCAAATTCCCAAATCAGCCTTGAACTGGACAACCTTTGATCAGTTCCATGGAAAGCTAATGACACATAATTGTAAGTTATGGACAGATATTGGGGTGAGGACAAATGAAGCGTTATAAGGAAGCAGATGCAAGCATGACTTGGTTATTTTGTCACTTCAGTGACAGAAGTGGAGACAAGCATCAATTGCACAGTTACTGTAAACCTGCACTGTTTTTTTAGACAATGATTATAATTATAGATATGAGCTTCTTGGAAGATCAAGCACCACAATTATGGGATGTTTGTCATTTGAACGCTCTTTGCAATAACTCACATACAAATGTATGCATCAGTTTGAATGCTTGGAGTCTGTCCAAAAACATAAATGGCTGCTATCACTTCATGCTTTAATTTCATGATTACAACAGAATGCTCTTGTATGTAAACTTGACTCTTCCTAGTGTTTTTGCTGCAGTTGACATTACTGGTTCACTTAGCTCATTAGATGGTTTTCAGATTTTTAGGATTTGACATTTAACCAAATACATTCACTCATCCAAATGTTATCTCAAGCACCAAAAGCCTAGCTTCAATTGCTATTTTTCACTTCCCTGCTGTAAAAAGTTGAAACCAACTCACACTGTGCGTTTCATTTCCAAAGGCTGGGTAACAGTGTTAATTCCTGACCTGTTTCATCCACAGGCAGAATTACAGCTCAACACAGAAACAAACAAACAACACCCCCCCCCCGCCAAAAAAAAAAAAAAAAAAAAAAAAAAAAAATTTTTATATTATCTCTCTACAAGAAGCCTTTATTTTTTCATGTCCTTTCCACTGAAATTCAAATCAGCATATGATACCCAGTATGAGTTTGCTAATGTCATAAGAATGTGATTATTGAGAAGTCACCTACTGCAACTGTATGTATTCAGACAATACAAATAAATGCACACCCTTCTGCAAATGTACTTCCACGGGTTTCTGAGCTTGCAGCTCTAAATGATTCACTTCTCAGTATAAATTGTCAGTGCAATAACCTCAGGACATCTTAGAACATGGCTCTGAAGTTAATGGATTATGGAGTAAGAAGCAAGTAGGTTATACATTTACCATTGTCCTGGTCTGTAATAAACCTGGCTGGCCATGTTAAGTCATGTAGAGACTTATGTTTTAAGACTCGGGTAAGCTTTCAGAATGTGCCAGTATTAACGTGCAATCAAGGGGCATTTCACAAAAAGCTATTTCCCCACAGCCACTTTCCTTCAATTCAGCATTGCCCAGTTTAATCTCTGGGCTATCACCCATGTTAAGAATTACCCAGGATTCTAGTCTAAGCAGGACAATGGATAAACAGTTCTCAGTCTTACAGAAAAAGGATGCAGAGGGAAAAAAAATCAGTAACTTTTCTTCACAGACAACATAGACAATATCATTCCTGAAAGTTTTTGCAACCTTATATGGGACCTCAGTATATCATCTCAAGAGTGTTGCCATCACTTCCGATGTATTCAAGATGAGAATGAAAGTTCATGGATTATGGAAGCAGAAGCAGGAAAGCCAGGGTAGCTCTGTTTTGCACTTCTCACAGCCTAGCAACTGCTGCCTTCCCAAGTAGGGCATGTGAAAAATTATCTGCTCTAAACTGCAGGGGAAAATTATTCACTGTCATGCCCGTTACAGTTGGATGAGAGAAAGACCCCTCAATGAGCAGCACTGTAGAAGTGAGGTGAATACCAGCACCTCTTTCATTTAGTTTGCTGTAGTATTAAAACAAGTACAAGGCTCCCATGTGAGTAAATTCAACCTCTGGAAAACACAACTTTACATCAATCTGTTCAAGCTTACTTACACATGAAAAAACCTCAATCTTTGTGAGCTTTGTTGAGTTTTAGTTTTTAAAGAAAGAGGATGAGTATTTAGACCTATTGAGTATAATGTAAGTACTCACAGGCTGCAAAATGAGAGATTTTATTTACCCAGTTGAGAGAAAAGCAGGAAATTGCCATATTATGTCATTTTCCAATGAGGAACCTCTGGTGGACTTGCTGTTTCCAGTAGTGTGTAATGTTCCTAGAAGTGAGAATTGATTTAGATTTTTCTCTCAGCATTTCAGTGTGGGAACAGAATGTGAACTTTTGCCAAATTCTGTAGGAGTATTTTTTTTTTTTTATATAATCATTATTACAATCAGGTCATGTTCCTCTTAAGACACAACACTTTACATGCTTGAAATCTCAAATGCTCGCTGCTTATTGTCTGCCTCATCCCAATATTTTACAAGTGTGCAATAATGATAGCTTCCTCTTTCATGCTGCATTTTGTACATAGGTTTCAAAGCATTTCCCAAAGAAAGGGAACTATAATTATGCATGTGTTAGAGATGGGGAAATAGAAACACTGAGAGGTAAAGCAATTTGCCCAAGGTGACAGGGCAAATTAAAGGCAGAGTCAGGCATAAATCCCATGTCTCCTGCTTTTTGGTTCTTTGCTAACCACAGCCTTGCTTGCGCTTGACAGTGGTATCACCAGCTTGCAAGAGCAACAGCAGCAGGAAACTGCTATGGGCTACTATGAGATGCGCCCTGAAGTGAAATAGATACAGGTCTTATTGAGGGCCCACTTGCAACCCTTTTGGTCACGGGGGTAACTGATAAATGGTACCTGAGCTGTGAGGAGCCTGCAGGGCAGTGCTGGGGGCTCCTCACTGAGCCCTGGATGGGTAGACAGGGGCTGCTGAAAGGCGGAGCAACCTCTGCAGTTGCTGCATGAGGAATCCTCTCTGTAAGCACTGAGACACTACTCTCCTCGTGTTCCCTGGAGTGCATTTCTCAGAAATCAGGTCCGCACGGTTTGTTCACATCAGCAGCAATCAGAGTTGCTGTTGACAGAGTCAGAGGCCTCTGTAGCAGAGATGTGGAGTTGTTTTGTCCTACAAGAAATCATGCCTTGGGGAGAGGCAGTGGCAACCCTTGCCACTTTGGTGCACAGCGGAAGGATTCCTGCTCTCCCACAGAGCAGGAGCATCCGAATTATACCGCTAGCTGTGGTTTATTTGGCATGTAAGATTGATTTTAAATTATTTCCTGTATATTCGCAAACCCAGCAAGTAGTTTCCCTTTAAAGCGCACCAGCTGTGACATTTGGTAGGTTCTGTAATTTCAAATGAGGCGCTAAGAGACTACTCCTTTCAACACCTTTTTTTTTAATGAGGGTGGGTACCTGTTGCAATGAATCAATTAAAACTGGCCTGACACACAAGATGTGTGTTGCCCAACCTGTTTCACTGGTTTCTTAGGAGGGAGGATAACATGTGACAACACACAGAAGCCAAGAGTACTGGAGAAGATCAGAAGCCTGCATGAGTGAGCTTAGCTTTCCAAAACATTTTCTTCAAGCGCTGTTTAAAAGACCACTGACCTCTGCAACAGACAGCACCATGGTGGAGCAAGAGATGCTGCTGCCGTGTGCTTATCCTCAAGAAAAGTGTAAGTGACCAAATATGATTTTGTATAAGAAATGAAAACAGGACACTGGAGAAAGGAAATGAAAGAAATGATCTAGCTAGTATAATTGAAAAGACAGAGGGAGTAGAGGGGAAATGCTAAAATAAGGAAATAAGGAAGCTATTAACTTTATATTGTAGGCATGCAATTGAAATATGATTAGTGTACTTACAAGCAAAAGAAAGGACGCTTGTATGAAGAATTCTGATATAAAAGCATCTTGAAGAAGCCTGCTTTTATCTTTGGCTTCCCACTTGTATTTGTAAAAGCGCTGTGGCGTGGGGCTGCTTGTGTGGCGGAAAGTGTGAACAATGAGTTTTGATTTAGTAACCTGAGTGGCAGACTGGAGTGCTGTGAAAGCATTTTCTAGAAATAGTATAATTAAAAACAATGTCTTCTCACAATGCAAAACCTCTTTTTCCTAAGGTATCAGCAAGCTTTCTGATACTTTATCCCCATGTCAGCTGACGGTGACAGTACAGTGCAAATATTCCCAAATCCATCCCTCCTTCCCCAAAGGAAGCTGTCACAGAACTTCTTTGCTAACCAGAAATTTTATTTTTATTGCTAGAAAATGTAACATAGGCAAGAAAGAACCAACCAACAAAAAAAAATATCTGTATATGTTGGCATTTGAAATTGCTAGGAATGTTTTAAGAGACTTCTGAAAAACACCAAGTCAGATTTCCAGTGTGCCAAAGATGAGTGTGACAGAAGGGTAGAAATGTAGCTGACTACAATGAAGTCAGGTAACTAAGTCTGGACTGGACTTGTCTGAACAAAATGCTAAGCAAAGGTAGAAACGGAACTAGTGTGTCCTGAAGCCACTTCAATACACTGCCAGAACAAAGTTCAGTGCAAAAAAACTTTCTTTCTTTGAACTCAAGAAACTTTGCCTTTTGAATGGCCTGGCTTGTTTTGGCAACTTCATGAGGACGTTATTTAAAACTTACTCCAGAGGGAAGGATTGTCTTAGTTCTGGATGTAAAACTGTCACTTTGTACAGGGCTTTATGTTGGTTATCAAAAGCTGGATAGGACAGGGATGTCAGCAAAGATGCAGTTTACCTGTGGAGAAACGTTTTCTATTTTGTCTTGTTTTCTACTCCCTGCAAAGTCCCATATGCAAAAAGTAACAGACAGTTAAAAATCTTCCTTACGTACAGTGTCCTGCTGAGCTGACTGCAGAGCCAGCCCGCTCGTAACCAACTGACTGTAACAGAGTTTAAATGAAACCTGGAGTTATAGCATCTGTGCTATAAAAAAACAGTGACGCTTTCCTTTCTGTTGTCTAGTGTCCTATGAAATGCTTTTAGAAAGCAGGTTGATAATAATTTACTTTTAGCTTTACTGTAATCTAAGGAATATAAGTGAGCATTTTTCTCTTTCATGGACCAATTTCTTTTTTTTTTTTTTCTTTTCTGTTGTTCACTTCAATGTTAAAAAGACAACAAGTCATACTGGGTTAACATCATCCAATTGCCTTTTATGGAAGACGTAAAAGGTAAACAGGAGCTCTCAAATTGCTCAGTTTTGTATATGAAATGTAAATTTATAGTGCGTGTTATTGTTTTCGCATGTGTATAAGAGAGAAAGGGAGGTTTTTTCCATCTGCTTGGCTCTCAGTTTCACAGAAATGTGCCATGCTGCACTGTAGAGGTCGAAAAATTTGCATGGAAAAATCAAATGAAACCCATAGGAAATAAATCCATAGGAGGAAGGAAACCATGTAATGCCTCAGGATGGACGAGCTGGGTCCTCTAGTTGCACCTTCTGGTGGCATGAATCAGCAGTGACCCCCCTTGAAGGCAATGGTGTTACCCCATGGGCTGAAGAAAGGACTATGTGGGGGACCAATCTCATTGCATTTACAGTATTAAAAGCTTGCCAGGTAATGTGTGTATCTGACATGTTAAAAAGACGAATTGAGTGCTGAATGGGCCCATTCTAACTGTAAAGGGTCGAATTGTGCCTCAGCAGGCAACACATTTCAGCCCAAAACTAAGTGCTTTATTGGACTGGTCCAAAAGGTCAACCTGCTGCAGATTTTAGCTTACAAATAAAACCCAAGTCTTTTAAGAAATCCTGTCTGCTAAGCAAAATGGGCACAGTACATCTTTGGGAGTCTGCAACTATTTGTTGGGATCTGTTGGCTTTCTATCTGTTGGTACGTGAAGTCAGCAAGAAACTCAAAAATTTTGTATCTGAACTTATGGTCTAGTTGTTCATGACAACTCATTTCCATGTGTCTTCTGCTTGGTGTCATTTGTCTTCCCAAATGTCTTTCAAGGAAAAACTAAGACATTTTATGTGTTTCTTTTGTTTTGTCCTCCAGGATACATCAGGGTGGTTACAACACTGAAAAAATAGCTCACAGTTAGTCATGGGACATGTTTTTCATAAGTCAATGAAGGCCCGGTGCTGTAGTGCCAGGGTATTGACTCCACAGGTGAATACTGCTATTTTCTTGTGAAAGGTAGCTGGGGTTTTCTGGGGTCTGTCACTCTGTTTCACCAGGCAGCTGGGGCAAACTACTGACTGGTAAGGTCTGGTGTTGGGTGTCTCTCCAGGAGGCTTGTCTCATCACAGATATGACAAGACCAAGAAGATAAACTGTCCTGAAACAGCAGCACAGAGGTTAAGATCCCACCATCTCTTGCTACTGTTGTGATTTTCTTTCATGTCTGAAAAAAATGTTAATTATCAAAACAATGTTGTGGGTGGTGTATATTGCATATTGACATATTGTACATACACAGATTGCATATTGAGTACACCAGCTTCCTCATTAACCTTTTCCAAGCCATTCGAAAAGCCCCTCTTGGCAGAGATGGTTTTTAAAGGAAAATACACTAAATTAGCCATTACAATGGATTTTATTCCTCTTAGAAAGCAAAATGTATGTAGTAAATGCAGTTTCTTCTGGAATAGTGGTAAAGAGACTTCTCAACTATGTGACATGGTCCTAGATATTCCTAAATAGCTGTTTGCAAATGTAAATTTCAAAGGGGAAAAAAAAAAAAAAAAAAAAAAAAAAAAAAGCAGCTATCTTTTTGCACTTCTCACTCTGTGTTATTGTTCATTTTAATAACTATTTCATATTTTTCATTTATTTGGAATATCTTCTGTTAGTCTGCTCCTACTTTGTAATATTTATATATTCACAGAGTCCAGATAGATTAAGAGCATATGACAAAACCAAAATAGTCTAAGCCTTTACCAAAATAAAAAAGAGGGGAAAGAAAGTAACTTTGGACAGAACCAAGTTAGTCTGAACAAGTTTTTTAAAAATAGAAAGCATTTTTGTGCTTGTACTTTTTAATTATGTGTCACACAATTAATAACTACTGAAAATATTTTTTTTAATCTTTCCAAAAGCCAATTATCTTTAAGTTGGAACAAAGCAAGGAAATTTCAACCCAAAAGAATTTGTTTGGCGTAAGGGGGTTTTGTTTGTTTGTTTGCTTGCTTGCTTGTTTTTGATTATTGTTTTCCCAGCCATGAAATATCAAACATGCGCTTTCAGGATGCTTACTTAGATTTCAGATTTGAAAAAGCATTCTAAAATTAACATATTTCATTCTCACTGCTTAAGAGCATCTATGTGCTATTATGTGTGTGCCAGTGGGAAAATGTGGGAGGTCTCTGTTCTCTATATGTCTTGAGGACACAAAAAATGTGGTGATTGTCTAGGAGGAGACTTTAAAAAGTCCTCCTCTGGAACAGTTTTCCCAGACATTTGCTAATCCTCAGCCTCATTTCTCTATTTTCAAATCTCACATCTTTTGTTTGATCATATCAGAATGCAATTTTAGACTTTGACTACTGAAATGAATGATCACCCTCACAGAAGGAGTGATTCCCTATTAACTACCTCACTGAATTTTTGGAATCACCTACTAACTTTGTGAGTAAGGACTTCAGGGGTTTTTTTTAGTTTGTTTGGATTGACATATTAAATCATGTCAGACTAAGAACTAGTCCCAGGTGGACCACAAGAAAAACAGCCCCGGTTATCTCTCCATGGACAGCTATCTTTTAAAGATCTATCAGGGAATCAATTTTTAATTCATCTAACGCACACCCTGTAAGTTCCAGTTAATGCACATTTTAAATCAAAATGTCCTGTGGTGTTAAATTGAGTGTCTTGGAGATATCAAAATATACTCTCCTCATACAGTTACTATTCTCGAACAGAGCTGTCATATTGTCAAAACAAAAGATTTATTGAAGGAAATCTGTTTTCCAGGGAACTCTGCTGCCTGACTCTCAACTTTTTTGGCTCGGATTTTTTGATAACTTGCCAAATTAACACATCACTGTATATCAACCCAACCTATAGCTGTAGTCAGCTAATAGGAAATGAAGTCTCTATTACTCCTTACATTTTGAAGATCGGATATGTCCAAAGGAAGAAAAAATAAACTGAAAACAAGCCAAAAGTAATGCAGATGCTCTTCATATGCTCCTCATCTCAACACCACATCAGAAGATATTTCTGTTTAATTCCTCTGTGTTCACTTATCTCTTGAAAAGGGGCTTATGCAATTCAAGGGTGGAGCCCAGGTAGAAATAGGACAATTGTACCAGTCAAAGGTTACTGAGAAGTATATTTGGGGAAACTGATTAAGTTATGCTCACTCTGAATAGATGGGCCACTAAAATGCTTCTCTGAAAAACACATAAAGCGGGTATGACAAGTGCTGGCTACTCGTTTTGAACACAGATGATCTTGGTTGTTCCAGAAATGTGGCAGGCTCATCTGGAAAAGGAGCCGGAGCGAACACCGGAGCTCTGCAGGCTCCTCTGGCGGCCTGGCAGCTGCATAAAGGCTGCTCACCAACCCGCAGGATGCAGGGATTTTGCCCACACAGCGTCCTTGTGTTTAATGTTTTGCTGTTTCTGCTGCTGTGGTAACGTGGGTGGGAATGCTACCAGCAGCTGGAGGCGTTCTGCTCCCAATGCAGGAAGATGGGCTCTGAG